AAGATAATATTTATAAAGTGCTTTGCAAGCCTTAAAGCAATATATACATGCTAGTTATCTTTAAAACATGACTTATGAATTACATATCTATTAAAGCCCTTGTGTCTCTGCACATTTGGAAATCGTCATTCACTTGTGGACATATGGGATAAAGACGAGGAAAGCAACTAAGGGAGTGGTGTAACAGGAAACAATAGAATGAGATCTTTTTGTTCTTTGTAGCTAAGTGGATGTAACAGGGCACATGCCAGGTGCCATCTGTTTTTGGCAGGAGGGCACCATTGTGTCATGGTTGCCATCTCAAATCCAACTGCCTTTCCAACTGCCAATATGAATCCTGCTGCCAGCATTCCGAGCTGCACTCGGTTAAATAAAAATCTTTAGTTAGCTATTTTGTGTCCAGCACACTTTGTTTACTCACAGAATGGCTAAAGACACACTATAATAATCTCCACCTCCCCACCCCAACCCCATGTCACCCTATAAGTATTTTTTTAATTTTTTAAAAACATTTGATTATTTATTTTAACATTCTTTTTAAATTTTGAGTTCCAAATTCTCTCCCTCCCTCCTATCCCTTCCCATACTCACTGAGAAGGCGAGCGATAAGATGTCAGTTATAATGTGAAATCATGAAAAACATAACATCCATATTAGCCATATTAAAGTAAAAGCAAGAAAAAGGAAGTGAGAAAATTATATTTCAGTTTGTGTTCAGAGTTCATCAGTCCTCTCTCTGGAAGTGGATAGCATTTTTTCATCATGAGTCCTTTAGAATTGTCTGGGATCATTGTATTGATCAGAATATCCAGGTCTTTCACAGTTGATCATTATGACAGTATTGCTGTTAATCATCACAATGATCTCCTGATTCTTCTCACTTCACTTTGCATCAGTTCATATAGTCCTTGCCATGTTTTTCTGCAACCATCCCCCATGTCATTTCTTAGAGTACGTTAGTACTGCATCACAATCATATACCACAACTCGTTCAGCCATTCCTCAACTGACGGAAGTCCCCTCAATTTCCAATTCTTTGCTACTACAAAAAGAACTGCTATCAGTATTTCTGTACATATGGATCCTTTTCCTTTTTCTTTGATCTCTTTGGGATTCAGACCTAGTCGTGGTGTTTCTGGGTCAAAGGGTATGCAGAGTTTTGTAGCCCTTTGGGCTCTGGAATGGTTGGATCAGTTCACTAATCCACTGGCAGTTCATTACCTGAGTATTTTTCCGTGGCCTCAGACAAGTCACTCAAGGATCATTCAGGCAACATGTATGACAGACTTGTTGATTCAGAGGGCAAAGAGCGTATTTACCTCAATGTTTGTGTCAACTTCGTATTTATAGATTTCCTAGTTATGGTTTTTCTAACATTCCTCTGGTTCATTTCCACACCAAATGCTGCTGCAACAACAAAAGAATGAGAGAGACACGGCCTTGAAATAGGAGTGGACGCTGACTTTCCTGGTTTGGGAGCGAGCGCCCAGAACGCCAGGTCCTTTACGCCCCAGACGGCTGCCTCGGGAAGTTCCCTTTGTCCGTCAGCTTGATCCTCTCTGGGGAATTCTCTCTTAAAAGAATCCGCCGACATCTATTGAACAGGAACGGGTCACGCTTTTAAAACGCTTGTGTAGCAACCACCTTTTGAGGTCACAGATGCAAATGTTCACATTCACGCAAGAAAGCTAAAGGCCAGAGAGGTGGCTACAGGCTGCTGACTAGGACGCTGAGGCACAGACAGATGAGCTCGTTTGCCTGGAGACACACGGATAGTACGTTTCAGAGACAAGTATATAACTCTGGTCTCTCCCAACTCCAAATCTAAGCTTACTAAATGTGTATTTGTTTTTAAATAGGTGCTTCTGGGAGTTATAAAGGAAACAGGAGATATCCACCACCAGCCTCTCCCTACCCTTCCACTCCCCAAGGTCATGGAGGAGCTTACTATCCAGGATAGGACAAAAATAAATAAGGCATCTGTATACTTTTGTGGTCGTTCAGTCTTTTCAGTCATGTCCAACTCTTTGTGACCCAATTTGGGATTTTCTTGGCAAAGATACTGGAATGGTTTGCTATTTCCTTCTCCAGCTCATTTTATAGATGAGGAACTGAGGCAAACAGGGTTAAGTGACTTGCCCAGGATCACACAGCTGGTAAATGTCTGAGACCAGATTTGAACTCGAAAGGACGAGTCTTCCTGATTCCAGGCCCAGCCGTCTCTCCCCTGTAACACCTAGCTGCCCCTGATTAAAATATACCCATCTGCAACTTCAACCCATTATCCCTAGTTCTGACATCTGAAGCGAGGCAGAACAAATCTAATCCCTCTTCCACATGACAGCCCTTCAAATATTTGAAAGCAGTTACTATATATTCCTAAAGTATTCTCCAGCTTAAAAGTCCTTAGTTCCTCTAAGATTAGGGCAATTAAATAAGTCCAACTGAGTGAATGAACTTAAGATCCAAGGTCAATAATTTAAATTTGATACATATATTTGTCTTTATGTCTGTGAACAGTGGTTTGTTGTGTTTATATAGTTCTTGTGTAAATCTTGTGGGTAGAGTCCCTACTTTTTGTACATCCTGTCGTTTTAAATGGAATTTCACTATGGATTCTTGAGAAGAATGATACTGTATAATGAAAATAAGATGTCTGAGTAAACTTTTAGCTACTCTATGAGGAGGAATAATTACTTTTAAACTTTTGTATTAGTTTTGGTATGAATTGCTTAAGGATTGGATTAAGGTATGATATGATGATCTCTGGCTATGAAAACTAAGAAGAAAAGGCAGAGCCAATATTCTGAAGAAAGAATTGGCAGTGTCCTTAGTGGAAGAAAAAAGTGAAGGAGAAAGAATTAGGAGCTTGAGGAGCTAGAAATAAGGATAACACCGCTGCGCCTGATGGTGAGGAGTTGGGTCGTCTTCGCTCCATTTCCAAGCAAAACAGTCATTGCAGCTTTCACCAAACCTCTCCCTGCCCTGACCACTGGACACAATTAATTACCCTCATTTGTTTGTTGAACTATTGAGCAAGAATGTGGGCAGTGGTCCACATTAATAGACACTAAATCCCTTGAACACAAATAAGTCTGTCTTCACAATGACCAGAGAAAAGTTTAAAAAAGGAAACATAACAGAGGAAAATGTCAAAATTGTTTTTATTAATCATACCAATTTTGTACATCTAAGGCAGAATACAACTGAGTATGAAAAGTAATTTAATAATATTCTTATTGGGTGATAGATTTAGAATTAGAAAGAACCTTAGAGATCATTTAATTTGACCTCCCCTTTTTTTACAAATAAGAAAACTGAGGCCCGTAGAGGTATAAACAAAATCACACAGGCAGTAAGTTAGCCAAGGTAGGATTTGAAACCAAGTCCTCTGATGCTAGTTGCACCATTTATGCCATTCTGCCACATTTCCCCCTCCTCATGCATATGAAGAACATTTCTTTTTGAACTGGAGTTGTGATTTCACTAGGGTAGGGAACTCCTGTGGTGAGGAAACTTCCTCTACTAATGCAGACTGGGGTCTGCTCTGCAGCCTAGTCTTAGAAAGTTTCTTGGGATGCTGATAGCCAGCCAGTATGTGTGTGAGGTAGGAATTGAACCCAAGCCTTCCTGACTTCCAAGGCCAGTGTACCATCCACCATGACACACTACCCCTCTATGCTGAATAAGTATTCCTCAGAACACATGGAAGGAAATTGTAAGATTTCCCCCAAAGGACAGATTCTTATTGAATGAAGGGCCTTTGATTGAAGGCAGGTGAAAGGAGTAGATAATCTTTCAATGTCTCTTCTAACCTTGTAATTCTGTAATTCATAGACAATTGAGCTCAAGTCCAAAAGAGACTGGAGTATTAGTATTAATGTTAGTACTTATTGGTGTCACAAGACAAAAAACCAAATAATAAGTGAGCTTCGATTAATGATATCAAAATATTACCCATGTCAATCATAATATAAAGTGGACATGTATAAACAAGTGTTTATGGAGTCTGGAATGAGAAAGAGATAGGTCACTTTTAGCCCAGGGAATCAGAAGATGGCGGAGGAGGGTGGAGGAGTTTGGGACGAGGGAATTCCATGAGGGAAGGCATGGTCCTACAGGAAAGATGCACTTGGGGAGTAAAAAGTGATCCAATTTGGCATTTGAGTAAAAGAGAATAATCTGAAGGAAGTCTGGAAAGCGTCTAAGCGATTCTTAAAGAGTATTTTCTACTTAGGAGTAACTCCAAGTGGAACGTGGTGCCGATATCCAGTCTGAATTATTTGGCTGTAGCAGAGACCACACTAAGGACAGAGAACTGGACCAGGTCATTTCTCAGCTCTGCAACTCTTGCAGTGGGAATCTGACAGTGGCTGTCAGAATTGAACCAGGCAAAGAACATGATCTCTGTATGTGTTTAGTTGGAATTACTATGCCGGGCTCACATCAGTGAGTCTGGTCTATGAGGGCGTTGTTCCATTTTTACTCAATAGAGTTAATGATTATTTTTGTTGTTCAGTCATTTCAGCCTTGTCCAACTCTTTGTGACCCCGTTTGGGATTTTCTTGGCAAATATATTGGAACGGTTTGCCGTTTCCTTCTCCAGCTTATTTTTACAGATGAGAAAATGGGGCCAACGGAGGCTGGATTTGAACTCAAATCTTCCTGACTCCAGGCCCTATGCTCTATCCACTTTGACACCTATCTACCCCATAGGAATTATTAGAGTTAATGAATTATTCATTCATTCAGCAATGTGCTGAAACTGCTACAGAACATGGTCCCTGGAAAGGAATTAGGAACTTTTTTTTAAAAATGAGGTATTCTAGAACAGTAATGTCAAACAAATAGAATTGAGTGCCACTAATTCATAAATAAGGCTGCCTATTGACTTAGTTTTGAAATGTAATATTATCTGTGTTTCATTGTATTTTATTTCCCAACTGTATTTAAATATTTCCCAATTTAATTTTAATCTGGTTTCCGGCCACACTGGGGATTGTGTGGGCTCTGTGTTTTGACACCTCGCCTCTGTTCTCATTTGGATGATTAGGAAAAGCTGTGCCTTAGGTTCAGAGATTTTTACTTGTTTGGAGGAGGGTTCTCACAGTGGGGGACTTTGGGGGAGGTGGGTTTTGTTGGATGAGAGGAAAGTGAATTGTGAAGGGAGTTGGACGGATGAAGGTAAAGGTGGAAGAAAATAATAAAGAGTTAGAAAATATCACTTGACTACGAACACATTAAAACAGGAAAAGGCTCTAAGTGTTCATGGTTGGTGAATTTCATTTACACAACACTTAAACCCCCAGTGAGGAATAGAAATCTGAATTCCGTTATGCAGTCGTGAAGATGGCAATGACAGTAGCTCCTAGGTATTTGTCAGTGTTGTAAATCTCTCAGAGAGGAAGAGATGTTCAGGGGAAGCATGACTCCCTACTGGGACAGAGTGTTATATAAGACCCTTTTGAGGGCAGCCAGAAAAAGGGGAAGAGTTTCTCAGTGAAAGTAGCAGAAAAAGTGAAGATGTGACTCATAGTCTCAGTATCATAGAATGATACCAAGCCCTCTTCATAATCCAAGACAAGTCTGATCTTCTTGGGTTTCTCTTTCAACACAATACTAGTGCAGGGAGAGGTAAGAGCTTGGTACTGATTTTGGTACAGCCCGATAGCCCAGATTCCTTCTTCAGGTCTTAGCTTAAACCACTGCTTCCTATTCACTGATTCTTTGACAACTCCCAGTCCCCAGTAACCTCCATGAGTAACCTCTGTTTCCCAGCAGTGCCTGCCTGAGTTGAAACCTTGAGACCCCAGGACACAGGAAAAATAGGAAAATCGCTTTGGGTTTCTGGACACATCCTGTTTGGTCCCTATGTTTTTCACATGCTGGTGATCCTCTGTCACCATAAGAAAAGCGTTGGCAGTTTCTGGGTCCAAAGTCATAGAATCTGGGGAGAAAAAAAAACAGAGTTCGTTTTAGGAGAGAATGATCACAGTGGAGATCCATAGTTTGGTTACATGGGTATGAGTGAGTCTGAGGGGAGGAATTGGAAAAGGTCTTCTGGCTAGATGATTACTGTGATTTTCCTTCCTCTATTCCATTTTCTCCAGAGGAAGATACGTTTCATTCCAAATCCAAAGATATTTCTACTGAACTATGTCAGAAGTAAGACTACTCTCTCAGCTCCTCTTTCCACAGCAGGAAAGACCTGAAGATCACTGGAATCTGGCTCAGATTCTATTGGCCATGAATGATCAACTCTATTGCTCAGATGGCAATAGCACCATTCTCAGAGTGCTGAGGATTCTCTGAAATAAAGAAAGCTGAGTTTTATTTATTTCTAGTGGAAAATGAAGCTGTCTGTGGTATAAACAGAAGAATCAATTTTTTTCAGTCAGTTTTACAGCCTTATCACCTGTTTAACTGCTCACTTTCCCTGGTTTCAGATTTCATTACCTTCAGATGTCCTTCCTCTATTGTGAACGACATTGGTTTGTATTGCCTTCCTATGTTTCACGAAAACTATAAATGCGTTTGAAAACAAGCCCTGCCAGGCAAATGTAGAATCTGCACAGAGCTAAACGGGGCTCTGTGACCCAGTCCTATTTTCTTTGAGTAAATAAGATAGCCTGATTGCTGTCATTGCTTCTGCTCCCTCCCCTCCCCTCCTCATATCTGGGAAGGATATGCTTCTTTGCTTTTCTTAAAAAAAACCAAAAACCAGGTTATAGTGACCAACCATAATTCCGGAGAACTAATGTAGGACGTTTCCCCACCTCAGGGCTGAGAGGAGGTGATAGACTTAAATATACAGAATGTTTTGGACATGGCCAATATGGGAATTTGTTTTGCTCTACTATACATATTCATTACAAAGGTTTTCTTTTATTATTCTTTTTTCAGTATGTATATGGAGGAGATGGGAAGGAAAAATACCTAATAATTAAAAAAAAATGACAGGTGATATCCATATGGCTAGCCTTACCAGACTTGTTATTTTGAGCAATTTACCTCTCATTTCCATCAGAAAAGATGGTAGATTTTCTAGGAGGAAAAAAAATTAACATGTTTTGAGGCACTAAGGAGACAGGTGCTATGCATATGTAAATTATTGCTTAAAAAAACAGAGACTTCATCTAGGTCGATAGCTGTCAAACTTTTTGGTCTCAAGGCTTCTTTACACACTTAAAAATTACTGAAGTCTCCAAAGAGCTCTTATTTATGTGGGCTATATTTATGTGCGTATGTGTATGTGTAATACATATATACACGTTTATTTACCATATTAGAAATTAAAATAGATAAATTGGGGTTAAGTGACTTGCCCAGGGTCACACACATCCCAGTGTCAAGTGCTTGGTCTGAGGCTGGATTTGAACTCAGGTCCTCCTGACTTCAGGGCCGGTGCTCTATCCACTGCACCACCTAGCTGCCCCCATAGGCCACATTCTGAGAACTACTGGTCTAAATGTTCATGGATCAATAATAAACATTTCATATGAAAACAATTATAGTCCATTACCTTTAAACTGTTGTAAGCAATGGCTGAGAGACAAATATTTCTGTGAGAAAATCTTGATTCTCTCGTCCAGGTCAGGGAACTTGGGAGTTGACATAGGGGGCTTAGTATCATCATACCTAAGGACAGACATGGCATTTTGAAAATCAAGTGAAGGTTTTGTATTTCTTATATGAAAGTGATATATGTATTGCTGCTTTTGTTTCCCCAGCACCTAGCACAGAGTAGTAGGTGCTTAATAAATACTTGTAGATTGAATGATTGAATTGAAGGGGTCAAGAGGAACAACACTCTTCACAAAAATGACATTTGCCAGATCCAGGAAAAGTGAGGTTTACTTAACACTTTCTCCTACTAACTTCTTTACTATTCTTCCCACTCTTGTAGGTTCTGAAATCTCTCAGGGAGACTGCCTGTCAGAATTCAGTGCCATGGAGCCACCAGTCCACAAGGAACTTAGGTGAAACTCTTTTATTCTTCCCATATTCCCATAAAGCCAGGCAGTAATGCTTTGGGTTGGAGGCAGTAACCAAAGTAAAAATGACTAGTGTACTAATGTCTTACCTGCTCCCTCCTTTAATGACAAAAGTTAAAATGCATTAATGGGATCATAAATTTAACTCCTGAAAGTTTAGGGGTCATCTAGTCCAAACTTCTCATTTTACAGAGCAGGAAACTGAGGCCCAGAGAAAGTTAATTTGAGCAAGGTTCCACAGGGAAGGTTAGTAGCAGGTTAGGACTCAAACCCAGGTCCTGGTCTCAGGCCATGGAAGAGCACAAAAAGGATTTTGGAAAGCAAGTAAAAAAAGTAGAGGAAAAATTGGGAAGAGAAATGAGAGTGATACAAGAAAATCGTGAAAAATGAGCTAACAGCTTGCTAACAGAGACCCCCCCAAAATACTGAAGAAAATAATACCTTAAAAAATAGACTAACCCAAATGGCAAAAGAGGTCCAAAAAGCCAATGATGAGAAGAATGCCTTAAAAAGCAGAATTGACCAAATGGAAAAAGAAATCCAAAAGCTCAAGGAAGAAAATAATCCCTTAAAAATTAGAATGGAGCAAATGGAAGCTAATGACTCTATGAGAAATCAAGAAATTATAAAGCAAAACCAAAAGAATGATAAAATAGAAGACAATATGAAATATCTCATTAGAAAAACAACTGACCTGGAAAATAGATCCAGGAGAGATAATTTAAAAATTATTAGACTACTTGAAAGCCATGATCTAACAAAGAGCCTAGACATCATCTTTCAAGAAATTATCAAGGAAAACTGCCCTGATATTCTACAACCAAAGGGTAAAATAGAAATTGAAAAAATCCACCAGTCACTTCCTGAAAGAGATCCCCAAAGGAAAACTCCTAGGAATATTGTAGTCAAATTCTAGAGTTCCCAGGTCAAGGAGAAAATATTGCAAGCAGCCAGAAAGAAACAATTCCAGTACTGTGGAAACAAAATAAGGATAACACGAGATTTAGCAGCTTCTACATTAAGGGATCTGAGGGCTTGGAATATGATATTCTAGAGGTCAAAGAAGCTAGGATTAAAACCAAGAATCACCTACCCATCAAAACTGAGCATAATCCTTCAGGAGGAAAAAGGACATTCAATGAAATAGAGGACTTTCAAGCATTCTTGATGAAAAGACCAGAGCTGAACAGAAAATTTGACTTTCAAATACAAGACTCATGCTGCTCTTGAAACATGAAAAGGTAAATAGGAAAGGGAAATCATAAGGACTTATTAAAGTTGAACTATTTACATTCCTACATGGAAAGATGATATTTGTAACTCATGAGACCTTTCTCAGTATTAGGATAGTTGGAGGAAATATATATAGAGAGGGCACAGGGGGAGTAGCATATGAAGGGAGGATATTTAAAAAATAAAATTAAGGGGTGAGAAAGAATTGTACTGGGAGAAGGAGAAAGGGAGAGGCAGAATGGGGTAAATTATCTCACATAAAAGAGGCAAGAAAAAGCTTTTACAGTGGAGAGGAAGAGGGGAGAGATGAGAAGAAATAAGTGAATCTTAATCTCATTAGATTTAGCTTAAGGAGGGAATAACATACACACTCATTTGGGCATGGAAATCTATCTTACCGCACAGGAAAATAGGGAGGAAAGAGATAAGAGAGTGGAGGAATGATAGAAGGGAGGGCGGATTGGGGGAGAGGGTAATCAGAAGCAAACACTTTTGAGAAGGGACAGGGTCAAAGGAGAGAAGTTAGTCTTTCACAACATGACTATTATGGAAGTGTTTTGCATGACTACACATGTATAAACTATATCAAATTGGTTGCCTTCTCAATGAGGGTGGGTGGGGAGGGAGGAAGGGAGAGAATTTGGAACTCAGAGTTTTAAAAATGAATGTTAAAAATTATTTTTACATGCAACTGGGAAATAATATATACAGGCAATGGGGTATAGAAATGTATCCTGTCCTACAGGAAAATAGAAGGGGAAGGGGATAAGACAAGGGAGGGTAATAGAAGAGAGGGCAGATTGGGGGAAGGAGTATTCAGCATGCATGCCTTGGAATAGGGAGAGGGGAGAGATGGGGAGAAAAATTTGGAACTCAAAATCTTGTGGAAGTGAATGTTGAAAACTAAAAATAAATTAATTAATTTGAAAAAAAAAAAAGAAAACCCAGGTCCTCTGACTCCAAATAGAATGTTTTTTTCTACTATTTTTCTTCATTTTAACCTCCAACTTCTCTAGGTTCCAGGCAAATGAACAACCAGCTACAGGACAAGGTAGATGAGTTTCTTTGTTATTGTTTTGCTAATTTAAAATCTACATGTGTCCCATAATGTGAGCACTACTAATCTTGCATTCTCAGATGGGCTCCCAAGCCTTTTTCAGGGGACAAGATTGGCAACAGCGCAAGAGTCCTGTCTACCTGTCTACATACCTGTGCAAGATGGTCCTGACATCCTGTAAGGAAAACAAAGAAGACTCAGGTTCTGATCTATATGTCCTGAATTTCTTCACTTTTCCAAATATACCATAGCCTGTTGGATTAGCATTTGTCTAGCACGTTTGTTTTACAACTTAAAAATGAGCTTCTCATCATAGGCACCTTTTCTGGGAATACAGAGATGCATTCATTACTACTTTCCTGGCCTTTTCACACATATGTTTAAGTTCATTATTTGGCAAGATTACTTAGTAGATGGGATAGGCTTAGCCATCTAACAAAGCCATGTTGCTCAGTAGATTCTTTCCTTTAATGCTCTATTAAGATATTTAACTGTGATAATGGTGGTGGAATTATGCATATACTGGCAGATACAGTTGCTTTGCCAATTGAGTTTTGCTTAATTTTTCCATTGTTGCAGGTGGGTATTCAGTGTGTGTGTGTGTGTGTGTGTGTGTGTGTGTGTGTGTGTGTGTGTGATACATATTGGGAAATGATTATTCTATTGTAAACATGGTATAAGTAAAAAGTTATTAACTGGGGGAAAAGTTTGTCATGTTCTTTGAACTTATTACTAGCCATTCAGGTAAATTTCAGACCCATTTCTTGCCTATCTTTACATCATCTCTATGAGCTAGTCAGAAATTGGTATTATTGGCACCATCAAGTTAATAGAACCTAGAAAGGAGAAATCCAAAGTAACCTAACAAGTAATAGGCAGAATTATCCTGAGATTTCAAATCTAACTCCCATCTCTATGTTCCTTGTACTGGACTAGCTGTCTCCTGAAGGTGGAATGATCTCGTGAATGCTTTGTCAAAGCTAATCAATCATGTTAAGTAACATTTTCTACCTCAGACTGAATCAATGAATTGCCCTTTTTGTTTTGACAACACATTTCCACTTTTGGAGATAGAAGTGCTTTGCTAGGGTTTCTTTATATGTCTTCTCTACAGGAAGATTAAGTGACGTGTCTTGGAGTTGCCCTGCATTGGCTGATGGTGTAGAATACACCCCTTTTTATCCCTAGCCTTCCTCCCTGATTCACTATTCTAACAGCCAACCTCTAAGAATTCATTTTCAGGCTTTTGACGGTTCTTTTCCATTTCTTTTAAAAGGTTGCTGAGAAGAGTCCTCTCTTCCAAGAGCCTATTAATATTCTCATCCTGTGTCCTTAAAATAGCCTTGTCTATCTCCTTTAGCTGGGCCAGGAAGTCTTGTTCTTTCTGCACTAGAAATTGGTGGAGTTTTTCAAATTCAGATGTTATCTTCTGCCTCTCAGTTTCTGTTTGTCTCTGAAATATACAAAGATAAATGGGAAAGGGAAAGCTATTTTTAAAAAAACTCCACCCAACACGAATGAACCCTTTTTTCGTTATCACACATAAATAACGTCATATTATAAGTCTTCTTTTCCCTAATACTACAGTACCATTATTACATAAGATAGAACTTTCTGAAGCAAAACATTTGATCCTTTTAAAAATATATAGAACTTCAAATGTATAAACATTAGGTGATGTCTGCCTTTATCAGTGATGCCTAATCCTGCTTTTATACCATTCCCAGAATGTCTCTAATTATTTATGAAAGCAAAATTAATTTTAGTTCTCTTTCATTTTTAAAAAATACTGAATTCAATTAAGCAAACATTTATTAAACACCTATTATGTGCAAAAGCATTAATGCTAGACACAGATGGTACAAAGACAAAAACCAGTCCCAGCCCTCATCCCGGTCTTTTATTCTACTGGGGGACGTACTTCAAACAGAGAAGTATGAGGTGGAGTCTGAAACATATTTCATTGCTGTGGTATTCAGAGGGACCTGCAACAGGGAAAACTAAATCAGAAGGGCATTGGAAGTAGGACTCTGCATGCCCAGGACAGGGATGCAGTCATATGAGAGCCTGGGAAACGGAGTGAAATTTTGCATGCAGTTATATAATTTGACCTTTCCCCCTTGCCTTCTGGAGCGGGGGTGAGGGTGAGGGTGGGGTTTCCTCCCTTGAAAAGCATTGCTGATCCACCATTCCATCCAACCCTAGTACAGAGAGTGGGAACAGAAAGGGCAAGATGGGGAACTGGTCACAGGAGTGGCTGCCCCCGATGTTTGATGTTGAAGCTGCTGTTGCTTTCACTTAATTTAAGCTTGGCAAGGATAGATCTGTAACAGATCTCCAGAGCTGTTGTGACTGAGGTAAAGATTCTGGGAAAGATCCAGGACCAAGATGTTGTGATGGGAAGATAGAGCAGTGGGTGAGCCAAGGCTGAAATGGAGCAGGACTGGACCAGCAAAGCCCCCAAACTGCTAGGAGATAGTTTGGAATCCCTATTTTCAACAGTTGTTCAAAGAGCTGATCCTAGAGGGTTCCAACCAAGCAACCCCTTCCTTGGATCTGTCCCACAATCTACCAGCTGGAATGAGGTTTGGGGAAAATGATTGGGCTTGAAAACTAATTTTTTAATAGTTTTTACTTCACTGTAACAAAACATATTGCCACTGAAAAGTCTTATGGTCTCATGAATAAAGTTGGTTAACAGAGAGAGAGAAATTTTCCAGATAAATAGTGATGGGGACTAGAGCCATATTGAGATTTCCATGATTTTGGCTTCTCAGAGCTATATTCCATTTTCTTTTCATACCTCTACATCAGTATTGAATTGGGAGCAGTACACTTTCCCTAACATAAGCACTGGGCAATCAGGGTGATGAAAAGGGGTAAGTAGTCCAAGAGTTCATAGGCTTGAGCACCCTGTGGTAAATGCCTTTGCTGGAAGTGCACGGTAGTGCATTGGACAGGTTTTGATGAAACCACTTGGATGGTGACTTGAGTGTATTGCCACCTGGTGGTTAATGTGCACACTGCATTCCCTTGCTGGCTAATTAATAAGGTGATAACTTGCTTTGTGTCTGTAGATGGTTCAGGTGCACAGCCAGTCCACAGCATTATCAGGAGTAAATGCAGCTTAATTTGAGGAAAGAGAGGACACTAACAACTTGAGGGATATAGAGAGGTTTCCCAAAGGAGCTAGTGAGAAAAAGCATATTCCATGTATGAAGGATGGATTGTAAAGGCCAGAAAAGAAATGCTGGGTTGGGAAAACAGCATATAGACCAGTTTAGGTGGAAAGTGGAGTTTGTGAAGGGAAGTAATGTGAAGGAAGCCTGGAATGGTAGATTGAAGCCAGACTGAAAGGCTTTAAATGCCAGGCGAAGGAGTTTGCATTTTATCCTGAGGTCATATAACTGTTTCCTGAAGACTTTTTGAGGAAAAGGGTATCATGGTTACACCTGTGCTTTACAAATACTGTTTTGGCAGCTGTGTGTCTAAGGAAGATTTGAAGCATGGAGAACAAGTGGGAAATTATCATAGCCATGGTAGATTTAATGAACTAAGTCTGACGCAAGGTGATGGCTGTGTGACTGAAGAGAGGGGGATGTCCAGGAAAGATGCAGAGCTGACAAGCCGAGGGTGAGGGCGGGTGAAGAGTCAGGGATGACTCTAAGGTTGTTATCCGAGGTGACTGGAAAGGTGGTTACACCCTCAGCAAGACACAGGGAAGTTTAGCAGAGGGGCTATTTTTTGCTATTGTTTTGAGGTTTGTTTGTTTTTTGGTAAGGTAGAGAAATCAGTTTTGTTTTGCAACTAAATTTAAGATGTGTATCCAACATCCAGGTAGAGCTATCCAGCAGGCAGTTCAAGATACAAGATTAGTGCTCAGAAGACCTGAATTCAAATCCTGCCTGAGATGCTTAGTATTTTGTGTGACCCTGACTTGACCTTTCTCAACCTCAGTAAAACGGGGATAATAGTGGTACCTGCTTCTTAGGTAGAATGTGAGAAGCAAATGAGATAATGTATGTCAAGTGCTTTGCAAACCGTAAAGTAGCACATAAATGCTATCTAATATTATTATTGTTATTATTATTTGCATAGAGGTGATAATTGAACCCATGGGACATGATCAATCAACAAACATTTTCTAATAGCCCATGTGCCAGCATGTGCCAGGTGCTAAGGACAAAAATATAAATAAATGAAATCATCCCTACTCTCCAAGGTGGTACGATGAAGGGTGAGGTGTTTACTTCTTTCCTGGCTTGGGTTCTGGTCTGTGATTGACCACAAGCACTCTTTTCTGCCTTGGAACTGTGAAGAGGCTTCCCTCTTCACCACCACTACGAGCTCTACCACTCCAGTGCTCCTCCTCACCCCAGGACCATCACGCAGAACTGTGACCCAGATCCAAGCATGGGCAAAGCAAGAAAATCCTGCCTCAGTGCCAGCAAAGAGATCCCTGTAGTCTTCCTCTGATCAGAAGCTTGATCTCTCCTTCATCTATGGGCCAAGAGCTCTGGAAGCAGTCCTGGGTCTATGCTGGGACTGGGGCCAGACCGAGCTCCTCTCTCACCACTGTCAGACAGACTTTTCCTACTGACTTTCTAACTTGTCTTTGGCATTTGTGGGTTGAGAAGCCTGGAAACTGCCACAGTTCCCCTTGATTCAATCCCCTGAGAACTGTTCCAGGTTCACTGAGGACTGGTTTTTGCCTATGCAGCCCATGCTGAACTGTGCTCCTTTCCCAGCCTGGTGCAATAGACCTTTCCAATCAACCATCCTGGTTGTCTTGGGCTGGAAATTTGTTTCACTGTCTTTTTGTGGGTTTTGCTGCTCTAGAAATTTGTTTAGAGCCATTTTTTACAGGTATTTGGAGGAGTTTGGAGGAAGCTTAAGCAAGTCATTGCTTTTACTCCACCATCTTGGCTCCCCATCCCTACTCTCAAAGGATCTTCCCCTATTCGATCAGGGGAAACAAGTACATATGCAAGAATTTATAGAATGAATGCAAAATAAGTACAACATAATTTAGGAAGAAGGGCATTGGAAAAGTGGGAAGGGTGGTGTTTAAGGTGTCTTGAAGGAAGAGAGGGATTTTATGCAACAGAGGTGAAGAGGGAGCTAATTCCAGGCATGGAGATGGGAGATGAGGATGTGTGAAGAATAGAGACAAGATCAGTTTGGCTAGACTATAGTGTATAGTAATGTATAATGAAGCTGGAAAGATAGGTTGGATATGGTCTTCTAACGATAGGAATTTATATTTTACCCTGGAGGCAACAGAAAGTTACTGAAACTTACTGAGTAGAGAAACATCATGGTCAGACTTGTGCTTAAGGGAAAACACTATTTCAGCTGTAGGAAGGATTGGAGTGGGGAGAGACTTGAAGCAGGGCCAATTAGGCAAGGGCATAGAGAAGAGAAGACAAGAGAGGAGAAGAGAAGACAAAGAGAGGAGAAGAGAAGACAAGAGAGGAGAGAGAGGAGAAGAGACAACAAGAGAGGAGAGAGAGGAGAAGAGAAGAAGAAAAGAGAACAGATGAGAAGAGATCCAGGACAGACGGGGGAAACACCCAAGGTGAGCAGATAGGTTAATGATAATCCAGAAAAGGAGACTGAGAAGGAGCAGTCAGGTAGGAGATGAATCAGAAAAAAGAAGTGTTACTAAAGCCAAGAAAGGAAAGACAATGGATGGAGTATGAAAAGGTTTTCATATAGGTTTTGAGGAAGTTGGGAGACATCATGCAATTTTTTTTAAAAATGGAGATGTGGGTCTCATTGTTCTAGAGTCTGGGAGTTAGGGTTTGCTTTGTTGCTCTGTTCTTCTCTCTGTTTTTTTCTGTGTCAGTGTGTCCATCTTAAATTGTGAGTTTGATGAAGATGAGTAATGTGATTTGAATAATCATATAGCTTTAGAATTGGAAACGACCTAATAGATCATCTAATCCAACATCCCTCCCATTCTGGAATCTCCTCTATAACACCCCAAATACATGGTGTTGAAAATTTTCAACGAGTCCACAAATTTATGGGATTTCCTGTTCCATCATTTTGGCCAGCTCTAATTGTCAAAAAGTTCTTCACTGGATTGAGTTGAAATCTTGCCATCTTCTAACTCCCACACTTTGGTCCTAGCTCTGTTGTCTGCAGCAACAGACTTGAGAGGCATTCTTGCATTCTTTGTATCCTTGGTGCCTAGCACATAGTAGGCTTAATAAATTCCATGTGATATCTTCTTAAATACTTGAAAGGCACTTTTATGTCCCTCTTCCCTTAGTCTACTCCCTTGAACATCATGTGACACGGTTTCCAGGCCCCTTTACAATCACGATCTATATTCAGTCATCATACCTACGGTGCCATGTACACAGTGAATGCTCAGTGACTGTCTCTTAATATAGCCCTCACCAAGTATTTATCTAGCTGTAAGTAGATAAGGTAGCTGCTTAGCAC